TGGTGGGCGGGAATGCGGCAGCAGATCAAAGACTGGGTGAGCAAGTGCGATGCATGCTGCAGGAACCGAGCAGTGCTAGAGAGGGAGAAAGCAGAGCTGCAGCCGCTGCCTATAGTGAGCCTGGGGTATCGCTGGTCGCTAGACATCGCTGGGGAGCTGCCTGTCACCACAAAAGGGCGCCGGTACATACTGCTCATGGTGGAGCATGTTAGCAAATGGGCAGAGGCAAGGCCGCTGGTGCAGAAGTCAGCGGAAGCCGTGGCAGAAGCTTTCGAGGAAATGGTGATCACCAGGCTAGGGGCATGCGGTGAAGTGTTGACGGATCAAGGAACAGAGTTTGCCGGGGCCTTTGACCAGCTGCTGCAGGCCAGCAGCATTCGGCACAGAACCACGTCGCGCTATCATCCGCAAAGTGACGGGCTCACGGAGAGGCTGGTACAGACGGTGAAGAAAGGGTTGCGGGCGTACGGTGAGGAGCACAAGAGGGATTGGGACAGGAAACTCTGCTGGGTCATGGCAGGGTACCGTTTCAGCAAGCAGGCTGTGTTAAGGGACGTCTCTCCCTACTATCTGCTGTTTGGGAAGGAGCCGGTGCTGCCGGTGGGAGCACCTAAGCTCTTGGCGGACGTGATCACTACGGGCTCACCAGAAAAGTGGGTCGCGGTGGCGGACGCGTGGGCAGCGTATCTGAGGCACCTGCTGCCAGCAGCGCTGGAGAACCTGCACGTGGCCCAGTTGAGGGACATAGAGCAGTATAAGCGACGGCAAGAGGCCAATGGCAAGGGCGTAGCAGCAGGAGTGCAGGAGGAGGAGGAAGTGTACATTAGGAGGCAGCGCAAGCATGCCCTGGACGTGGGGCTGTCGCAGCAGCGATGGACGGTGAAGGAGGTGCGACCCTCGGGAGTGATTGTGCTGGAAGACGGTAAGGGCAAGCGGGTGGCAGACCATGTGACGAACGTGGCGAGGATCGGCTCAAAGATGGCGAAGGGCGGACCCCAGGGTCCCATGACGCGCACGAGGGCGGCTGCATTGCGCCATGGGAGGGGGCAAGGAGGGTCCGAAGAAGAGACCAGCAAGGAGAAGGGAAAGCAGAAGGTTGGGTAGGACACAAAAGGGAGAGAGGAGGGAGCGAGGGAAGCAAGAGCTCGGTGAAGGGAGGGTTAGGGGAAGGAAGGGCATGGTCTAACCAGGCCATAAGTGGCAGAACCGGGGAAGCAAGCCAGGAGAGTGTGGAGCAGAACAGGAGGTGGAGGGCAGGGCAGGAGGATGAGTGGAGGGCTTCCGACACCCATCGCTTGGCCTGGGAGATGTTGGCCAGCGTCATCATGAGCGGCCACGCCTTCTTCCGGCCGTTGATGCTCATGTGCGTCACATCCGAATATAAGATGATCCCCCCCACAACTTCGGACCAACCGAAGTGTTCCTGCAGTGCACGACAAAGCGGCAACGGACACACGGTTTAGGGCTCAAGATGCTCTTGACATATCAGTGCAGCGATGGAGGCATGAGGAAGGATTGGGTTTGGGGTGGCAACGTGGTCTTTCCTTACCTGAGCATCGTTCAACCACGTTCCTGTTTCAGGCGTGGTATAGCGTCGGCTGCCTGCGTCAGGGTCCTCATCAACACGCGCCTTGAGCTTGAAGCCGGGCGCGTTGTTGGGATGTCCAAACATTTCAGCGAATGCCTGGTGCACGGTGGCGAAGGCAGGTGAGAGGAGAGGCATGGTTAGTGGTAGTGAAGGCGGGTGTACGGCTAATACAAGGATAACTACGTACATGCAAACCCTGCGTGCCTCATCATCATTTCACGGCCTTGAATGCAAAGTCGGCTTACCTGGGCTGAGTTCTGAAAGAGCAAGCGCTGTGGTGGATGACCGTCAATCTCGAAGGTCGCCACTGACCATCCGCGATTCAGCCCTGCCAAACGCTCCATCTCGAACCGCTCCTGATCCTTACAGTTCCGGAGCTCCGAGATCACAAGAGGCGCAAGGCCGAGCTCTACGACTAGCTGAAGCAGGCCGTTGATGTCAACCTCGGCCATTCCCATTCCGCCATTCACGCGCCGAACGAAATGCAGCAGCTTCAACGCGAGCGGATTGAGGGGCGTGGCATTGCTCTGTCCGGAGATGATTGTTGGCGGCGCGGCATGACTCCCTTCGGGCCGGCTCTCAGGATGGTCACTCGTGTCAGCCGCAAGAGCTCCTGGTTGTGGTTGATGTTCATCTTCAGGAGGCCCCTTGTTCACGTCGTTGGGATTTTCGTCAACGTGAGCTTCAGGCACGCGTGGAGGACCGCTCACACTGACGGCGTTGGATGCGTTAGACTCTGTAGGTGAACCGGGAGCGGCTGGAGCGTCCGACAGAATGTCGTGGACGAATAGCAGAGCGTGAAGACCGGCGGTCGGTGCAGATCGGGTCGGCCTTGCCATGGCGGATAGTCCTTGGCAAGGGGTCCGCCGTGACTTATGACCGCCATAAACTTGGGCGTTGGGGAACCATCTGTTGCAAAACTCGCAGACGACGCCTGGTAAAGAGCCCATGTGTTACGGATCCGTTGTAGAGTCGAGAAATCGCCTATGAAGCTACTAGCCGTGATGAAGCTTGTGAACGCATTAAGTACCCCGTTCAAGAAGCCTGTGACAGCCACACGATCATCGCCAATGCGCGCACTGTGGTGGGCGGCTTGTATCACTGCACGACTGGCACTTGACATTGGCGCTAATGTTTATGACTGGCTAACGATGTCGAGCCGCGTGGTCGTTACCAGGCACGATACAGACCGCCCTACCTCACGGGCCGTCTTCCCTACAAGGCGTGTCGCCCCCGTTTAGAGTGACCACGACGTGAGCAGAGGAGAATGCGGAGGATCTTAAGTCTCACGGTTGTGTGTGTGCGTCGCGAGCACGGTGAGAAGGACGTGCCTATTGAATCAAGAACTTGTGTTTAGGAACCGTGCGTGAGAGTCGAGGGGGATGAGGAAGAGCGGGAAGAGATCCGTTTGGATCTGTGATTGTGTCGCGAATCGATATAGGGGGGAAATCAGAATCACGTAGGTGAGCTCAAGAGGCTTCAAACAAACATGGAAATGCAAATGTACAATTACAACTTAACAAGACACTCAAGTCATTCATAACTAGTAAACATTCATATCCTTAGGACTGATGTTGAACAACCCCTACTTGATAACGATACGGGAAGTACCCAATAACTCCATGCCCTAACATATGATTGTTGCGTGGAGTGAATACCTATAGCGTGTCTTCTCTCGAGGTGTAGTGTACCTCTACGCACCGTGCTGAATGAATATGCAAGAATGGATGACAATGTCGTACAATAACACAACGGTTTCAATGTCCATGCAATGTTGGATGACAATGCAATACCATACCACAACGGATTCACCATGTCGCGCAACCCGCAGGCCTGAACGCTACATCGTCGCACAGTCTAACCATGGCTGCCGATAACGCATCTACGCTTGTGCGTTGGGCCTGTGCTTCATACAACTCCTTCTAAGCACCTTGTTTAATGTCTGTGCAAGAATGGATGCCAATGCAACACCATACCACAACGGATTCACCATGTCGCGCAACCCTCAGGCCTGAACGCTTCATCGTCGCACAGTCTAACCATGGCTGTCGATAACGCATCTACGCTTGTGCGTTGGGCCTGAGCTTCATACAACTCCTTCTAAGCACCTTGTTTATTGTCTGTGCAAGAATGGATGCCAATGCAACACCATACCACAACGGATTCACCATGTCGCGCAACCCGCAGGCCTGAACGCTGCATCGTCGCACAGTCTAACCATGGCTGTCGATAACGCATCTACGCTTGTGCGTTGGGCCTGTGCTTTATACCACTCCTTCTAAGCACCTTGTTTAATGTCTGTGCAAGAATGGATGACAATCCAACACCATACCATAACGGATTCACGTTTGTTACTATTGATAATCGTGTTAGAATGTCGTCCGCTGGCCCTAAACCATTGTGGCAAAGCCTAAAAGTGCACAGTAGATCTGTCACAAGTAATAATTCTGGACAGTCGTTGTGTGTGTGACGTAAGAATCACCGATTAACTTACCCCAACCCCGTGGTAAACCATTTGCAACTTAGAGTTTGATGAAATGCATTATTGTCTGTTTGAATAAAATTTAGTGATTTATGCGTTGGCAACCATGATTGGTCGACACATCTCAAACGATTCCCCCCGCAACACAGTCATCAGCCAAGAGGTACTTCAGCCATTGAGCGGCTGAGATCGAGCGGTAGGTGGGTTTATGCTAGGGTGGCTACACGTACACCGTCCAATATAGCCTGATAGGGTTACATTACTCTCTCTAGTCTCGCAACCCACCCCAACCACCCTTGTGTCCCACCCTACCTGCTTCCGTCACTCCCTGGACCAACACTTTGGCGCTGCTCGTTTGCCTTGACACACGCCTCTCCAGATCGGCCTTAGCGCGAAGCATAGTGGCTACTATGACAGATTTAGTTGAAGCGGCGGTTTTCGGAAACACATAACAGTGATAGACCGTCGATAATCCCATCGTGGGATTCAGTTGCCGAACCCTTTCGAAACCGGCTCAACCCTTCCGCGCGATTTGCAACTTTGCTCCTCCTACAATTACCATGACACGTGCAACACGTAACCAAGCAATGGAGGAGGAACAGGCCGGCCGCCGCGCGACAAGGAGGACGTCTAAACAAATCGATAGGGAGTGTGGTGGCGGCGCTAAAAAAACTAATGCATCCGTCGCTCGTGGCATTGGGCAGAAAAAAGCGGCGGCAAAAAAGGTCGCGCGCGGTCAACAAGAGGTCGGCAAGAAAGCGGAAGACAAGGGGCCTAAACCAACGCCACTGCAAGTGTGTTTCTACAGTGAACAAAGATGTGGATGTTGCCTCTGCTGGAACCGAGCCCGATCCGAGTAAAGACGGCACCACTGGCGGCAACGAAGATCCGGGGCGAGGGAGCGCGAGTCTTGCACTCCCGTCGGCGGAGATGGAGGGATCGGCGACGGAGGGAAATCACGGAGGCGATCCCCGCGCCGAGCATGCCGCAACCAAGGAGTCTGAGGCGGCGGCAACGCAACACCATCTGACGCTGCTCCAGCCGACCGTGGTCGAAGTTTCTGCAGCCGTGCTGGATAAGGACAAGGTGGGGGAGCACGAGTCGGTGGGGCTGGTCGGTGGCTCTCCACCTTCTGGTGGACGGGGGAGGCGTAGGCAGAGGAAGAATGATGGGGAGGACGATTATGACACCGCCGTGACCGGGGACCTCATTACGCGGGCGAAGAGGCGGCAGACGACAGGTAGTGGTGACGACGCCGGAGGCGCGGCAGTTGGGACACCGCGAGGCGCCAAGGAAGCTAGTGGCAAGGCGGGCGGTCAAGCATTGCGCCAGAAGGGCCTACCCGCAGCAAGAAAAGCATCCGGCGGAAGGAGAGGCAAGAAAGCAGCGACGGGAACAAAGCCGAAACGGGGCGATGAAGACCCCGGTGATGCGGAGGAGGAGGAGGATGAGGAGGAGGATGCGGAGGGAGAGGAGGATGAAGAGGAAGCGGAGGAGGATGACGCGGATGTTGGGGAGGATGAAAAGGATGAGAATGATGGCAGGGATGACGAAGAGGAGGAGGAGGAGGAGGAGGAGGAGGAGGAGGAGGAGGAGGAGGAGGAGGAGGAGGAGGAGGAGGCAGAGGAGGAGGAGGAGGAGGAGGAGGAGGAGGAGGAGGAGGAGGAGGACGTGGCGCCAGTGAAGGGACGGGGCGGGCGTGGCAGACGGGTGAGTGGTACAGGGAAGGAGGGGGGCTGGACTCACCCTTCCCGAAAACGCGGGGCAGTTGACGCTGCGCGCGGCGAAGCATCGGGCAAACCGAAGGCGCGTAAGGTGAAGGTCGAAAGTGAAGGGGTTGGTAAAAAGCAAGGGAGCCAGGGAGCAAAAGGGGATGGAGGAGGAAAGGGTGGCCGCGCCAAAGGGGTTCCAGTGGGTACCAGCAAGAAAGAACCTGCTGGTAAACGTCGCAGCGTCCGCCAAAGCACCCCGCGGAAAGGTGGCAACGAGAAGGCGCAGGCTGCCCCAAAACCGAAGGGACAGCAGAAAGGTGAGCATTGTGTCCAATAAAACTGGCGTGACGTGTTGAACCATCTGCTAAATCGTGCCAAAAAACACCCATTTTTCACATTGTTTCTCCCATGCAGGGAAGAAGAAGGTCGACGAATCTGCCAAGCAAGGTAAACCCTCTTGTCTCAAACCAGTACAACCCTGAACCCGATCTAGATTCAAACCTTTCTGAATATGCATGCATGTATGGCCCCGCCTTGAAATCGATCGACTCTATTTTTTTTTTCCGGCTCCCTCTACATCTCAGCCCCTCGCGTTACAGGCATTGAGCCACCCGTAAGCGTGCAACGAATGCATCTAACGAAGGCTGCCGGAAGAGCGAGTGTTACACCGCTCTCCTCCAGAGCACCAAGGTACTACACGCCATGGGCCGGCCCGAGCAAAGTCGCTGCGACGGCACCAGGCGCGTCAAGAGGAGAGGAATCCGAATCCCCTCCACCCGCCCCTGTCACGCAGTCCCCACTCGCCTCACCCTCGTACCAATTTCGGCAACTCCACGCTTCTCCTGTCCGGGGCAGGGCGGTCTCCCCTCTCGCCGATCCTTCGCACGGGCATCAGGTAGGCAGTTATGCCAATCCCTTCCCTGAGCTCCCCAATTCCCGCCAGCGTGATAGTGTGAGGGCACACGGGACTGCTGCAGAAGACGTTGATCCCCTTGGCCAGAGGGGGGGTTCTTCACACCCTTTTCCTCCGCTCATGGGTGCCCTAGGTGAAAATGCGGAGCACGAGCATTTTGTTACACGGGAGGAGTTCCAGGCGCTGCGGTCTGAGATGTACGCCATGTTTGCACAGCTCGGCCTGCGTCGTGGAGTACCTGCCAGCTATGCCGGCGGGTCGGCAGCCCTGCCTATGGCTGGTACCCCGCCGCCGATGAGCGCCGTGGACAAGGCACGAGTGATAGTGTTGCAGGAGACAAACCCATTCCCGGTATGTGGCGGGCCACATGGGGAGGGTTGGGGTTGACGTGGCAACAAGGGCGGGGTTGGGGCTGACGTGGCGGTTTCGAAGGGAACACGGGAGCGGCGCGTGACGAGGCGACGCGTATCAGGTGGGTGGGGGGTGATGTGGCATGGGGTGGGTGGGTGTGACATGGCAAGTGGCGCGGGTTGTTGGTGGACGTGGCGGATGCGAGTTGGGTGTGACGTGGCAAAAGGTGAGGGTTGGGATATGACGTGGCGGTGTGAAAGGGTGCAAGGGAGTGCCGCATGACGGCGCGAGGCGTTTCAGGTGGGTGGGGGGTGACGTGGCTCTTGGTGGGGGGTGTGACGTGGCAAGTAGGGCGGGTTGTTGGCGGATGCAAAAGGGTGTGACGTGGCAGAATGTGAGGGTTGGGGCTGACGTGGCGGTTTGGAATGGTACACGGGAGCGACGCGTGACAAGGCGACGCGTGTCAGGTGGGTGGGGGGTGACGTGGCATGGGGTGGGAGGGTGTAACGTGGCACGTGGGGCTGGTTGGTGGACGTGGCGGACAAGGAGGGTGTGACGTGGCACGTTGGGCTGGTCGGTGGACGTGGCGGACGCAAGAGGGTGTGACGTGGCGGAAAGTGAGGGTGGGGGATGACGTGACAGATGCAGATGGGTGTGACGTGGCGGAAGGTGAGGGTTGGGGATGACGTGGCACCCTAAAAGGGTACACGTGAGCGGCGCATGACGAAGCGAGGCGTCTCAGGTGGGTGGGGGGTGACGTGGCTCTTGGTGGGGGGTGTGACGTGGCAAGTAGGGCAGGTTGTTGGCGGATGCAAAAGGGTGTGACGTGGCAGAATGTGAGGGTTGGGGCTGACGTGGCGATTTGGAATGGTACACGGGAGCGGCGCGTGACGAGGCGACGCGTGTCAGGTGGGTGGGGGGTGACGTGGCATGGGGTGGGAGGCTGTGACGTGGCACGTGGGGCTGGTTGTTGGTGGACGAGGCGGATGCAGGAGGGTGTGACATGGCACGTGGGGCTGGTTGGTGGACGTGGCGGACAAGGAGGGTGTGACGTGGCGGAAGGTGAGGGTTGGGGATGACGTGGCGGATGCAGGTGGGTACGACGTGGCGCAAGGTGAGGGTTGGGGATGACGTGGCGGTTAGAAATGGTACACGTGACCACTGCGCATGACGAAGCGAGGCGTGTCAGGTGGGTGGGGGGTGACGTGGCTTGTGGTAGAGGGGTGTGACGTGGCAAGTGGGCCGGGTTGTTGGTGGACGTGTCGGATGGCGCAGGGTGTGACGTGGCAAGTTCAAACAGTGTTGCTCGTCACCATCCCATGGTCACGTGGCCACCCTCATAACTGCTGGTTTTTCTCTACCATGTCGTGTTGTATACCTTACACCCCTGCGCAGAACAAAACCTACTTAGTGTGCTCTCAGCTCATGTTTCTGAACCCGCCGGAGAAAATACGGTACTACCCTGCACCGGAGGAAGTGTTCGAAGCGTTCTCTGTCCACTTGTCTGCAGAAGGGCTCGAGGCAATGAAGCTGCCGTGGTTGCACAATGACAAGTCAACCATGGGAGTCTTCAACCACCAGCTGTCCTCAACAAGGTCAACTATCAACTCCACCCTCAGGCCAGCAGCATACACCGGCATGGGCCTTGCCGATTACAGCCATCTCGTGGATAGCCTGCCCACTGAGCTACACCCAACGACCTGGTTCGACGACGATCAACTCCTAGCCGAGTATAGAGATGGTATGTGCAGTGCAACTCGAAAACACAATATGCCCTACCATATGCCCCTTCGCAGCTACATATCACCGTGCGATGTGGCTCACCCTGACTCTCATCCCCCCATTTGATTTCTCTACAAAACCCTTTCCAACCCATACCCTCCCTGCCAAAAAGCAGAACAGTGGGCCCTCAGCTGGCACTTTGACAAGGCCACCGGGACACCCTTCAGCAACCCCTTGTTCGCTTATGCGTTCAAGCTCTCCTTCAAGAGGGGTGGGGCGGTGTTCACCAAGTTCAAGAGCCGCATGGTGGCATGGGGCCTGTTTTCGATAAGGATGTAGATATGTGTTTGTACCCCCATGCCTCATCCCCTTAACCCCTTGCCTGTACTTCAGCTAAAACCCTGGTCGATTAGGCCTTTGCAGTTACGTAGATAGTGACGACTGCATCACCGCTTTCAGTTGCCTTATTAACCCGTAACCTACCCTCCTCATAAACCATCCACCCAACCCTACACCACATTGCAGATCGAATGGCCCCTTCTGCAGGATAAGCGTCGCAAGCGAATCAGTAGCCAGCCGGAGCAGAACAGGCCAGACTACCAGGAGTGGTGCGAAAAGGTCAAACAGATGATCCATTTTGCTGTCATGGAGCGGAGGATCCCCCACCATCCGGCTATGGGTGCGTTCGTCTTTCCGAACAAGTTCCTCATCGACGACGGCGACCTTGGAGATGTCGTCCTTGCCCACCGTTCGCTTTCAAGGCCCGCCAGTGCGTAGGCTATTTGACCTGGTGCTAAGACTGCTTGTTGCTAGAATGCTGAATAATGGTTCTTGTAAACCGCAATAATAAATGCAATTTTGAAATCCTCAATATCCAAAATGAACAAAAACATAATTTAGTTCTGAATAATTTGGTCACGAGTTTGCAACAAAACGGATTGCGCCCGAATGTCATCCAGAAAAGCTCGCGTGCCAAATTGGAACTTGAACCGAGCCAAACCTTGTCGCAAGATGTGTCTCGGAGCTCCTATCAAATGACTCCAACCGTCGGTCCAAATTGGCTCCGGATTTTTTTACGCGAAGACAATCGAAATCAAAATTCGTCCAAACTTGGGATAGGGTTTTTGTGATGGAGGCGGTCGAGTTGCTCCTACGTCAGTGTCGCGAGAGTGAATTCGACCATGGCGTGGGTGTCGCGCAAGCTCAGCGAGAGCCTCTGTCGTGGCCGTGTGTGCTTACGATGTCAGAATGTTGTATTTGTCTAGCCTGAAGTGGGATACTCTATAGCGAGTACAGCCCAATTTAGGGTTTCCTATATGTACTCAACTGCCTGCTAGTGCAAACCCTCTTTCGTGTTCTATCTTTCTACCTGCTATCTTCGACATGCTATCAGAGTGGTTACGCTCCTAGCCTGTGGGCCCACCATTTCCCCTCTTGCAGCCCGCGTGCCGCCCCTGCAGCCCGCGAGCCGCCCCTGCTGCCACCTGCCCTCGTGCAACTGCGGGGTGGCGGGTATGGGGGTGGCGGGTGTGTGTGTGTCGCCACTTGCTCCTCCTCCTCCTCCGTCTCCCACTTCTGCAGTTGCCGCTGAGGGGGGTGGGTGTGTGGGGGCCGAGGGAGTGGTGCTAGGGGGGTGACGTGGGAGTGGAGCTAGGGGTGCAGCAGAGGGTGTGTCAAAGGGGTGTGGGACAGCTGGGGGAGGTTGAGTGGAGGCAGCGCCAGTATTCCAGAGGCTACAATCTCTGGTAGTCGCCAGTCGCCCGTGGGTCAGTTGCTCCAGCCGCTCGGTGTAGGCGCAGAGCCAGTTACTCCTGAAGTCGGGGCCTTTGCTTCCGTAGCCACTGAGCCAGCCGCTACAGTGTGTCTGCAGCTTCAGCCGTTGCCTCCCATCTTCTCGTCCCCACAGTCTCTCCTCCTCCTCACTTGCCCTCTGTGATAGTCTCTAGCTTTACTTATCATTGTGAACTATTGCTCTACCTGCTGGTTGTGCTGATTACACCCCACTTTGGCTATGGGGGTGTGTCAGCGTGTTGTATTTGTCTAGCTTGCAATGGGGTACTCTATAGCGAGTACAGCCCAATTTAGGGTTTCCTATATATACTCAACTGCCTGCTAGTGCAAACCCTCTTTTGGTCTATCTTTCTACCTGCCATCTTCAGCATACGAGAGAGCACTACGAGCGGCGGTGCTTGTTTCGCTGAGAGACGTCCACCCCCCCCCCCCCCCAAAAAAGTTGAGATAACGAGGAAGCGAAGGCATGGGTGCAGACCGAGAAGATATCGTAGGCTCTGATACAAAGTGTTACGAGTGCAATTGGAGTGAGCGAGCGAGAATTGCACTATCGAAGCAAGAGTACAATGAGCGGAGACATGAGAGAAGAATATACAGCGAAAACTATAGTGGTAACGGTAATGTGTGAAAAATGGGGTGCCCGACGGGCCTGGCGCCGAGGTTGGGAAATGTCGAGGCGGACGTCCGGAGCGCGGGTTGCCAGCCGAACCGTGAGGTTGGGTCGCGTCGAGAACAGTGGCGGGAACAGTGTCGAGGCGAGTGTCGCGAGTGGTAACGGATTACTGTTGGATGCTGTTGGCAGGAACAGTGGTGTACACGCTGAGCAGGGACGTGAAGTAAGGAAAATGAAATTTACTTACAATCATTATGAAGTGAACAACTGGCGATGGACTAAGAGTGCACACACTCCGAGGAGTATTCAAATCGGTATAACTGCTGTTGTTGCGGAAGTTGACGTGTCACCCTCGCTGGCCCTCTAACCCTCCAACCGTCAGAAACCAGCCACGTAGGTGTTGAAGGATGAACTTTTTTGCCACTAATCGCCTGTTTCACGATTTGCGACTCACAGCCGCGTTCGCAAATCGCAAATATGTCAGGCTTGGACGTGGACCCTCGGATATTCGGGGGAATATTGAGGGCGCATACCAGCCCGCCCTTGGAATTGACGGTCGGATTATTGTTTGGGGCTGCAGACTGTGAGCTTGCGATCACTCTGGGCCATGTGCCCACGATCGTCAAATCGACTGAACAGAGCGCGCACCATTGAGTTCGTGAACGAAGCGCGGTACTTGTTGCTAATCTTGGACCTAAGCGTACAACTTTCAACTTCAACATGCTGAACCCCCTCGAGCCTGCAAAACGATCCCACAACAGATTGGACCCCGAATTGCACATGTTGCATCACGCCCTTTTCCCGACAGGGTCGATTTTCCATTCTCATTCTTTCACCTAGCCGCAAGCCTCAGGAGGAACTTCTGGTGTGAACGACTTAATAACTAGCTCGATTGAAAAATTAGCACCTAAGAGAGGCAAGGTCTCCTCGTCAGTAATTACGTTAGGTCTCGCTTGGACAGGATGGCGACCATGGTTATGCGGTTACCAGGAACCGCTGCATCGCTAGGCAATTCCGTCGCCATCGGCCAGCCGAGAGAAGCCACGTTTGCGACGACAGCTTCTTTCGCACCATTGGCTTCGCTAAGATTTTCGTCGCTAAGAGCTGAAATTCCTTCTTCTCAGATTCGATTATCCCGTCAAACAAATCCGAAACATCCACGTCATCAAGCCACGTGGCGGTGTGTGCGTGCCCAAAGCCAGCAGCCAGAATCAAGCTCCACCAGAAGTACTTCTACAGACGGTCACGTCCGCAATGCTGACCTGGACTTGCCCGAGTCGGTGGCTGCCAAGGTGGCAACCGTTGGCGAGCTTGACCTATCACCGCTCTCGCCTCCTGCTGACGTGGAGATCATTGATACGCAGACCGCCATGAGGACCGTCGGATTTTGGGTAAGAAGCACGCACGATCGGTACACCTTATAACGCGGATAAAAGAAACTGTGGTCTCGAATGGTTCTTATACTCGGGCGCCTTCAGTTTTTAGAATCGGATATCATCCGCCATCATCCCCCCTCCCTCCTCTCCTCCCCTTCTCTCGTCCATCCGGTCGCTGCTGCATCTGCTGCCAGCAGCAGCCTTCGAATATTCAGACTGAAATGTGGACGGGCCGATGTACGGGTGGACAGACCGATTGAAGATGCCTGCCTTCCGCATTCCGCCTCTTCCGCATTCCGCCTCCTCCGCATTCCGCCTCCTCCGCCACTTTCCACCCCGCTTCCGCATCCACCCTCTTCCGCATCCCCCCTTTTCCGCATCCCCACCCCCCATTCCCCTTCCTCTGCTTCCTCCCTCCGCTCCCCTCTTCCGCATTTCCCCTCGGTATTTAATCTTTTACCGTTTTCTCCTCTTCCGCCCTCCCCCTCCCGTCCCCTCCCTTCCCATCCCATCCCCTCTCACCAGGTGGGGTGGGAGGGCCCTCTATATTGTTCCCAGTTCTCCTGCTCCCATCTCCCTCTCCGTCCGCCTCTTTTTTCCCCTCCCATCAGGTGGCAGCGGCAGTGGCGTTTGGACTAGTCGTGGGCTTCGTGGAAGGACCCACCAAAGCGTCAGAGTTCTTTGCGGGGTGAGACATGGGGGAGAGGGGTGGGGAGGGGCGGAGAGGGATGGGGAGAGTTGGGGATGGGCGGGGAGGGGTGAGGAGGGGTGATGCGAGTGGCACGACTCACCAAAGCGTTGGTGTTCTTTGCGGGGTGAGGCACTGGTTGTGTGGGAAGGCAAGGAGGGGAAAGGTGGGGTGAGGAGGGGTGGGGAGGGATGATGCGAGTGGGAAGGGCCGACCAAAGCGTCGGAGTTCCTTTGCGGGCTCAGACATGGGGGAGAGGGGCGGAAGGGGAGGGGTGCGGAGGGGTGGGGAGGGGTGATGCGAGTGGGAAGGGCCGTCCACAGCGTCGGAGCGGGAAAGGGGAGAGAGGGGCAGAGATGATGGGCAGAGATGATGGGCAGAGATGATGGGCAAGCACGTTGCTAGGCTAGCGGGGAAGGAAGCAAGGGAGAAATTGGTTTGAGAATTCTCAAAGTGAGTGGGGAAGGAAGCAGAGAGAGGGGCGGATACGATGGGCGGCGAGCTGGGCAAGAAAGGGCTCAGGGTTGCAAGGGAGAAGAGGGGATTCGTGTTTTGAGACGACTTAACCGCTCCGCTCACCATCTCGCCACCGGTTCTCTCTCTGCTGCTTGCCACTTGGCAGGTATCTATTGGAGCAGAGCCTGTCCGTGGACAATCTCTTTGTGTTCGTCCTCATCTTCTCTTACTTCAAAGTGCCCACCGCCTACCAGGTACGTACGTGCCACTCACGCTCTCTCTCACAGCGTACCAGGTACATGCCACTCACGCTCTCTCACAGCGTACCAGGTACGTGCCACTCACGCTCTCTCACAGCCTACCAGGTGGGTGCCACTCACGCTCTCTCACAGCATACCAGGTGGGTGCCACTCACGCTCTCTCACAGCCTACCAGGTGGGTGCCACTCACGCTCTCTCACAGCATACCAGGTGGGTGCCACTCACGCTCTCTCACAGCCTACCAGGTGGGTGCTCTGCTCTCTATCTACCATCCTACTACCACCCCTTTCCAACCTCTGTCCGTGGACAATCTCTTTCTCTTCCTTCCCATCTTCTCCTACTTCAAACTGCCTACAGCCCAAGGTTAAAAAAAACGTCGTTTTTTTGAAAATTTACCGTAAAAAACGGCCGTAAAAAACGACCGTAAGAAACGGTGAAAAAGGTTCCAGAAGGTGGTTTCGTTTGAAGAAAAAATCGGCCGATTTCTGGGACCAAATTGATGGCGAAAGGTACCAGGAGGAAGAGGACGAACCCCTCCTTGCATGCGTGCGCTTGTGGGCAAGATTGAAAATGTATTCGATCTCGTTTTCTCCTTTTTTTGTTGGTGACAACAGTTCTCTAACAAAAAAAAGCTGTTTTTTTTTGGAAAATTACCGTAAAAAACGGACTGTAAAAAATGGACCGTTTTTTACGAAACCGTATTTTTGAACCTTGCTACAGCCTACCAGGTGGGTCCTCGTGCTCTGCTCTACCACTCCTTCCCACCGCTTCCCATCCCACCACCACCCCTTCCCACTGCTCTCGGTGGACGTTCTCTTGGTCGTCGTCCTCATCGTTTCCTACTTCAATTCAAAGTGCCTACATACAGCCTACCAGGTGGGTGCTGATTACTGCCCCATCTCTTCCCACTACCACCTCACCCCTCTCCAAACGTTGTCACCCCTTCCAACCGCTTTCGGTGGGCAATCTCTTTGTGTTGGTCCTCATCCTCTCCTACTTCAAAGTGCCCACCGCCTACCAGGTACCACCTCACCCCTTTCCACCCCTTCCCACCCCTTCCAATCCAACTGCTGGCCCACCCATTCCCATACCACTACCACCACCCCTTCCAACTGACCTCGGTGGACAATCCCTTTGTGTTCCTCCTCATCTTCTCCTCCTAAACAAGTCCCTACAGCCTACCAGGTACTCACGCATTACTGCCCCATTCGCTCCCTCTACTCCCTTCCCATCCCACTACCACCTCACCCCTCTCCAACCTTTACCACCCCTACCAACCGACGTCAGTGAACAATATCTTTGCCTTCTCCTACTTCATCGTGCCCACCGCACATCAGGTACTCACGCTCTCTAATGCTCCATTCATTCATAACCGCTCTCTCTCTCTCTCAAAAGACACTCTTTCTCTCTCGCCTTACCTGAATCGACTCACAACTCTCTTTGTCCTCGCCTACGTCAAAGTGCCTTCAGCCTACCAGGCAGGTAGCCGCTCTCTCTTTCTGCCTACAGCCCACCAGGTACTTACTCTTGACTGGCCCACCCCTTCCCTTCCCACTACCACCGCACCCCTTCACAACCCTTCCCACACCTTCCCACTACTGCTGCACCACATCATTCTTCCTTTCAGATCCACCCAGAATACACATCCTGCAATTTCTCAGGTGCTACTTACAATCACAGAGCTGCGTCCTTCACATACGGTGCTGCTATGCCTTCCTAATCAACCTGTCCTCCGATATTCCACTAGTCTCTGAATCGAATCGTCCCCACCCCCCTCCCCTCCCCCCCCCCCCAATCCCTCCTTCCTCCCTCTCCCCCCCTATTCCCTCCCCCTTTTTCTCCTCAACCCCTCCATGCCTGACTGCCAGCCTCGGGTGCTCACGTATGGCATCGCTGGAGCTGTGATCTTCCGAGCCATCATGATAGGTCTGGGCATTGCGGCCATTCAAGCCTTTGAAGCGGTCAACCTGCTGTTTGCCGCGGTTCTCATATTCTCCTCCTACAAGGTGCAAACCATGCTCCCTGCCAACTTGCAAGTGTGGGTCGTGTGATGTGTTGGTACCAAGGGTGTTTGCTGCATCATGTACGCTTGGTCCTTGAATCGTGGGTGGGAATCGCGGCCATTCAAGCCTTTGAATCGTGGGTGGGAATCGCGGCCATTCAAGCCTTTGAAGCAGTGAACCTGCGGTGTGCTGCTGTGCTCATATGCTCCTCCTACAAGGTGAACTATCGGTGGTGTGGTGCCGAGGGTAGTTGGAGGGGTGGCGCGTGGGTGTGTAGTGGTGTGTGGTGGGTGTGTGGTGGGTGTGTGAGTCAACTCAGAGCCACCATGACGGGCCTGCCTCACCAGAAGAGGCGTTGCATTGCAGCCATCCAGGCGTTTGAAGCAGGCTGTTCTGAGTCGATTCGACTCACAAGTCTCACGGATTGGCCGTTGAGTCGACTCAATAGTCATCCCGGACTGGCCTCGGCATTCAAGCGTTTGAGGGATTTTTGAGTCGAGAAAAAGAGTCACCAATGGTTGTGTGGAGTAGGGTGGTGAAGTGAGTGGCAAAACGAGTGGCAAGAAACGAAATGACAACTCTGGCTGGCTGTCTCGGATTGCGGTTTTGCTGATGGCTTGTTGGTTAAGGCAAGCGGTCTCCCTTTGCCGCAGGCGTTTTTTGAGAAGCCTCAAATTTGCTGTCTTCTGATTGCTGTCTTCTGATTGCTGTCTTCTGATTGCTGCCCGCCTCCCTCGCTCCCACCCACCCTCCTCTCCCCCTCATGCCAGGTACTAGCAGAGGCAGAGGACGAGGTCGACGACCTCCAACAACTCAGTCGTCACGTTCTGCCCTTGTCGCCCAATCCCTCCCTTCTCTGCCTGCTATCTTCCTCCCCTCCTTCCACCCACATCAGCTGTCAGCTACTAGCAGAGGCAGAGGACGAAGATGACGATTTCTCTAACAACTCAATTCCCCCCTCCCTCCCTCTCTCCCTCCCTCCCTCCCTCTCTCCTCTCCCCCCCTCCCAAACCCCTCCTCTCCCCCATATCAGCTACTAGCGGAGGCAGAGGACGAGGATGACGACCTCTCCAACAACTCAGTGGTCAAGTTCTGCCAAAAGCTCATCCCTATAACAGGTAGGCTTTTCCCTTTTCTTTTTCTTATCCACTTTTTATCCATCTGGGGTTTCGGGTTTCGGGTTCAGCCATTGAGGGTTCAGCAGCCATTGGTTATAAGATGTCAGCTCCGCACACGCACAGACACATGCACACACATGCACACACACCAAGGTTAAAAAAAAACGACCGTATTTTTGAAAATTTACCGTAAAAAACGGTACCGTAAAAAACGGCCGTAAAAAACGGTAAAAAACGGTTCCAAAAGGTGATTTTCGTCTAAAGAAAAAATCGGCCATATTATGGGACCAAATTGATGGGAAAAACCACCAGGATGAAGAGGACGATCCCCTCTTTGCTTGTGTGCATGCGTAAGCATGATCGAAAATGTATTCGACCTTGTTTTTGCCTTTTTTTTCTTGGTGATAAGAGTTCTCTAACAAAAAAACGGCCGTATTTTTGAAAATTTACCGTAAAAAACGGACCGTAAAAAACGGACCGTAATTTACCATTACCGTATTTTTGAAAATTTACCGTAACGCACACACACGCACGTAGGCACGTACGCACACACACACACACACACACACACACACACACACACACACACACACACACACACACACACACACACACACACACGCACGCACGCATGCACGCACGCACGCGCGCGCGTGCACGCGGGCACACACACACACACGCATGTACGCACACACACACACACACATGCACACACACACACACACATGCACACACACACACACACACGCACGCATGCATGCACGCACGCACACACACACACACACACACACACACACACACACACACACACACGCGCGCGCGCACGCACACACAATCTTGAGAAGAACTCGTTTTTTTTAAGTTTCGATCCTCTCTTCAAACTGCAATCCATGCCTTTTTCCATGTGCAGATTACTACGACGGCAACCAGTTGTACTCTTTGGAATTCACAAAAGTGTCTCCACCATCCCTCCCCCCCCCCAACCACCTCCACCTCATGTGCAGATTACTACGACGGTAACAAGTTCTACACCACAACAGCAGCAGGCGTGCAAATAGTCAGTACACAAACCCTGGACCCTCATGTTCCCTTTCTTTTAGCCACCTTTTGACCCTGATGTATACGTTCCCACTTTTTCTCTCCCATCCCTGGGCGCCTTTTCTCATGCTCTGCCTGCTTTCCCTTTCTCACTTGCTGCTGATACCCTTTCTTTCACCCTGATTTCCCTTTCCAAGATTCCTTCCTCTCTGATCCCCCTTTCTTACTCGTTTCCTCCTCCCCACCATCCCTCCCCTTCACAAATTGCTTGCTTCTCCCGCACTCGGCTGCATTGCTCAGCTTATTGTCCTGTTGCCTTCATCCACCCTCTCCTCCTCCTCCTCCTCCTCCTCCTCCTCCTCCTCCTCCTCCTCCTCCTCCTCCTCCTCCTCCTCCTCCTCCTCCTCCTCCTCCTCCTCCTCCTCCTCCTCCACCTCCTTCTCCTCCTCCTCCTCCTCACCCCTCCTCCTCCTCACCCCTCCTCCTCCTCACCCCTCCGCTTATCTCTTTGTTGTGTCAACACCCACTCACCCTCCCCCCCACCCTCTTTCCCCACCAACTAATGCATCAATCCACGCCTTTCCCTCCTCACTCTGTCCATCCATTGTTTCCCCCGTGCACCCTCCTCTCCCGTGCACCCTCCTCTCCCCCGTGCACCCTCCTCTCCCCACCCTCCTCTCCCCACACCTCCTCTTCCCACCCTCTTCTCCCCACCCCCTCCCCCCACCTGCTGCCCCCACCACGCAATACATCAGGCCACTCCTCTCCTCCTCACTCTAGCCGTTGTCGAGCTGTCGGATATTGTCTTCGCCGTGAGTGCTGGGCTGCCATCTGCTTTTCACATGCTTGCTAGTGAAAAGGGGACCCCCCTTCTTTTCTCCCCGCTCCTATCCTCCTCACTCTAGCCGTCGTCGAGCTGTCGGATGTTGTCTTCGCGGTGACTGCTGTGCTGCTCTTGCTTCACAAATGCACCGCGAGTGCTGTGCTGCGCAAATCCGTCACCGACAAGTGATCAGTCTGGAGTGGCTCTTTGCTCCTGGAAAACTCTCTTCGTCGTAAATGGGACTACTTCTACTTGCACTTTGGACGCGCCTCAAAACTAGACTTTGGGCTCTTCGCCCCCACTTGGTAGTGAATTGGACAACTTTTACTTGCCAGGCGCCTCAACAAGGGCCCCTCCTTTCCTTCAGTTTGACTCCATCTTGGCAGCCTTTGGCGTCACTCGCGATCCCTGTCTGTTTGCCTCTTTGCCCCATCCCATCCCATCCCATCCCATCCTATCCCATCCCATCCCATCCCATCCCATCCCATCCCATCCCATCCCATCCCATCCCATCCCATCCCATCCCATCCCATCCCATCCCATCCCATCCATCCTTCCCATCCTATCGCATCGGGTCCCACTCCATTAGTTTAATTCCATCCCGGCAGTCTTTGGCGTCATCGTACTCATATCCCATATCTTTCTCCATCCTTTTCCAACCTTCTGCATCCCTTCCCACCCCACCCCACCCCACCCCACCCCACCCCACCCCACCCCACCCCACCCCACCCCACCCCACCCCATCCCATCCCACCCCACCGCACTCCATCCCACCTCTTTTGACTCCATACCATATATGGCGTCACACGAGATCCCTTCAACGTATTCACATCCCATATATTGCTTTGCCCATCCCTTTCTACCCTTTCCTTTCCATTCTTTCCCATCCCTTTCCAACCTTTTCCACCCCTTCCCAATCCCTTCTCATCAGTTTGACTCCATTCCGGCCGTCTTTGGTGTCACTAGCGATCCCTTCATCGTATTCACCTCCAACATCTTTGCCCCATCCTTTCCCATCCTTTCCCATCCTTTTCCATCCCTTCCCATCCCATCCCATCCCATCCCATCCCATCCCATCCCATCCCATCCCATCCCATCCCATCCCATCCCATCCCATCCCTGCTCATCAGTTTGACTCCATCCCAGCAGTCTTTGGCGTCACTCGTGATCCCTTCATCGTCTTCACATCCAACATCTTTGCTATTCTCGGTACGCTCACCACTGCTTACTGTTGCAATCATTGGATATCGCTCCTGCTTAACGTCACCCTTTTCATCGTATTCACATCCGATGTTTTGCAACTCTTGCAACAATCACCACTGCTTACTGTCACTATTACTTGGTGTTGTCCCCACTGATTAGACATTCATATTCGTCGTTTTCAAGCCCTTTTCTGTTTGTTGAATCGCTTCCCTCTTGGGACTTTGAGCATCATGGCATGGCAGTACACAGCAGCATCACAGCATGCAACGGCACCCATCCATCAGGTCTGCGCCCTCTCTTCACAGGCGTTGCCACCAGCACAGCCCATCTGCGCCACCAGCACAGCCCATCTGCGCCACCAGCACAGCCCATCTGCGCCACCAGCACAGCCCATCTGCGCCACCACCACAGCCCATCTGCGCCACCAGCACAGCCCATCTGCGCCACCAGCACAGCCCATCTGCGCCACCAGCACAGCCCATCTGCGCCACCAGCACAGCCCATCTGCGCCACCACCACAGCCCATCTGCGCCACCAGCACAGCCCATCTGCGCCACCAGCACAGCCCATCTGCGCCACCACCACAGCCCATCTGCGCCACCAGCACAGCCCATCTGCGCCACCAGCACAGCCCATCTGCGCCACCAGCACAGCCCATCTGCGCCACCAGCACAGCCCATCTGCGCCACCAGCACAGCCCATCTGCGCCACCACCACAGCCCATCTGCGCCACCAGCACAGCCCATCTGCGCCACCACCACAGCCCATCTGCACCACCACCACAGCCCATCTGCGCCACCAGCACAGCCCATCTGCGCCACCAGCACAGCCCATCTGCGCCACCAGCACAGCCCATCTGCGCCACCACCACAGCCCATCTGCGCCACCTGCACAGCCCATCTGCGCCACCAGCACAGCCCATCTGCGCCACCAGCACAGCCCATCTGCGCCACCAGCACAGCCCGTCTGCGCCACCAGCACAGCCCATCTGCGCCACCAGCACAGCCCGTCTGCGCCACCAGCACAGCCCATCTGCGCCACCTGCACAGCCCATCTGCGCCACCAGCACAGCCCATCTGCGCCACCAGCACAGCCCATCTGCGCCACCAGCACAGCCCATCTGCGCCACCACCACAGCCCATCTGCGCCACCACCACAGCCCATCTGCGCCACCAGCACAGCCCATCTGCGCCACCTGCACAGCCCATCTGCGCCACCAGCACAGCCCATCTGCGCCACCAGCACAGCCCATCTGCGCCACCAGCACAGCCCATCTGCGCCACCAGCACAGCCCATCTGCGCCACCAGCACAGCCCATCTGCGCCACCACCACAGCCCATCTGCGCCACCAGCACAGCCCATCTGCGCCACCACCACAGCCCATCTGCGCCACCACCACAGCCCATCTGCGCCACCACCACAGCCCATCTGCGCCACCAGCACAGCCCATCTGCGCCACCAGCACAGCCCATCTGCGCCACCACCACAGCCCATCTGCGCAACCAGCTCAGCCCGTCTGCGCCACCAGCACAGCCCATCTGCGCCACCAGCACAGCCCATCTGCGCCACCAGCACAGCCCATCTGCGCCACCAGCACAGCCCATCTGCGCCACCAGCACAGCCCATCTGCACCACCAGCACAGCCCATCCGCGCCACCAGCACAGCCCATCTGCGACACCACCACAGCCCATCTGCGCCACCAGCACAGCCCATCTGCGCCACCAGCACAGCCCATCTGCACCACCAGCACAGCCCATCTGCGCCACCAGCACAGCCCATCTGCGCCACCAGCACAGCCCATCTGCGCCACCAGCACAGCCCGTCTGCGCCACCAGCACAGCCCATCTGCGCCACCTGCACAGCCCATCTGCGCCACCAGCACAGCCCATCTGCGCCACCAGCACAGCCCATCTGCGCCACCACCACAGCCCATCTGCGCCACCACCACAGCCCATCTGCGCCACCACCACAGCCCATCTGCGCCACCAGCACAGCCCATCTGCGCCACCACCACAGCCCATCTGCACCACCAGCACAGCTCATCTGCGCCACCAGCACACCCCATCTGCGCCACCAGCACAGCCCATCTGCGCTACCTGCTACTACATGGCCAACTTACCCCTCGCTCACATCACTGCTCTTCCCTCTGTGAATCCCATGCCACACCCTTCCATCCCATGCCACACCCTTCCATCCCATGCCACACCCTTCCATCCCATGCCACACCCTTCCATCCCATGCCACACCCTTCCATCCCATGCTCCCTTCAGGTCTGCCCTCACTCTTCACACTCATCGCCACCTGCATGGCGAATCTGCACTACCTACAGCTACAATTGAACCAGCTGTCTCTTACCCCTCTTCCCTTCTCCGCCTTCTACTATCATCACTCCTCACCCCTTCAGGTCTGACATCTCTTTTCACAGTCATCGCCACCTGCATGGCGGATCTACACTACCTTCACCTGCCCATTGGACCTCCTTCCTGATCTCTACCTCCTTCCATCCCATCCCACCGCACTCCACACCCCGTCAGGGCTGCGGTCACTCTTCACAGTGATCGCCACCAGCATGGCGGACCTGCACTACCTGCAGCCAGCCATCGCAGTCGTGCTCGGCTTTATTGGTTCTAAGATCCTAGCCGACTTCTGTGGTGAGTGTGTTAGATTAGCATCCTCGTTGTAGCCTGCATCTATCATATAAGCTTCGGCTAGAGAAAGACACCCAAATGTAGCTTGGGTGTAGAACTAGGGCTAACCCTAGTTGGGGGTTGGAACTCAACACTTGGCCCAATTATCTGGCCCCCAAGGCTGAGTTGGGAATCATTGCCCCCCCCCAATAATGTTGAACCACTTTGGTCAACATTATTGGTCCCCCCAATAACTCCTCAACCCAACTTATTGGTGGGGGCCAATTATGTTGGCTAGGTTCCAACCAAACCCCCATCCTAGCACACCGATGTATACCCACGTTCTTTCCTAATCGGTTCATCTTCTAGATTTCTCACACAGTTGGTGCATTGCCTTGTGGTTGAGTTGTCACTGAGTTCTTGGTGTGATGCAAGAGTAAGACCCATCTGCACTGCCTACCTACACCCGGCCGGCCGTAGCAGTGGTGGTTGAGGTCATCGGCTGCAAGATCCTCGCAGCGTTCTGCGGTGAGTCGTCTCTCCGGGCCATCACACAACATGCCATCCAACACCATGCACCCATCTGCAGCCGGCCATTGCAGTGGTGCTCGGGTTCATCGCCTCCAAGATCCTAGCAGAGTTCTGTGGTGAGTCGTCTTGGCACTACCAGGCTTGCACGTACGACAGATGTTCTGTGGTGACATTGCCGCTGGCAGGAGGACTGTTCACGCTTAGATTCTCGTTTTCCTTCTCTCTCACCCCTTGTGTTCTGCACTGCCAGGCCTGCGCGTACCAACAGAGGTTTCTCTAGGGGTGGTGACATTGCTGCTGGCAGGAGTGTTTACCCTCACCCTTTCCTCTCTCTCACCCCTTGTGTTCTGCACTGCCAGGCCTGCACGTACCAACGGAGGTCTCGCTAGGGGTGGTGGTGTCACTGATGGCAGCAGGCCTGCCTTTCAGCCTTTGACTCTCCCTCCCCTTCTCTCTCCCCCTTCTCCCCTGCACTACCAGGCCTGCATGTTCCAACAGAGGTCTCGCTAGGTGTGGTGGCGTCGCTGCTGGCAGGAGGAGTGTTCTTCAGCCTTAGATTCCCTCGCACAGAGGGAGATGATAAAGAGGGGTTGTAGGCATGCACAATATTTGATGTAGTCCACCTATCATAGCATTTATACATTTTTTTAAAAGGAAAGGAAGTATATTGTAGAAGATGCAATCTGCTGTAAGCAGTCAACATTGTATAAGCAATGTTCAAACGGGTGATTCTGCATAAAATTTCGGAAATTACAGCAGCCCTTAGGACGGGTCAAACTTGTAACAATCTGAAGTGGGGTTGTAGGATGGTTACAGGTTGACCGCAAGTCTTGTAGCAGCGGAAGATTGTTAGTGAATGTCGGGTACGGACCTTAAGAAGGAGATTTGAATCTCAACAGAAGCGACTAACAATGCGGTACAAGGGTTTATATAGGAATACAAGGGAATACGAAAGGTCCAGCTAGCCATGTATTCTGAGGGGGTTCATTCTCTTTAGAGCTAACCTACATCGGGAATGGCAACCATGCGGTTCGGTAGCAATACACGCCACGGTAGCTGTTTAAATGCATTCCCGGGCTTGCTGAAAGGAATTTTCTATACCTTACTAAGTCACACTGTACGCGTACAACCCCAGTCTTCGGAAACCCAGGCTCGGTCCGACGACCCCGCCTTCCGAACCACCATCGCGTCGCCTTCGGGTTTCCCAAACCCGAACCCGCACCCAACCATTTTCACGACTCCGCGACGTTGGCCTAGCTAGCATTGCTATATTAGTCCTAGGCCTCGATGTTTGCTCGGACGTTGTAATCACTTCCGCGTTATTAGATTCAGTGCACTCTTCTCTTTCACAACTCATAACACTTGGTATCAAAGCTACTTTCCTAGGTTACCCTTGTGTTTTCGGGGTAGTTTAGTGAAGGGGTACGATAGACTTGGTGGGCTGCAAAGCGGACAGCCTCTGAAATAGATACGATTATTTCACTCCGACTACTAACCAGCCCCTGCCCGTCCGACGAAGCATGAGAAACATGTAGCAGACAGAGTTTAACGCGTTACTACAGGACTTCCGAGCGATGTAGGCCAACATGCACGCGATGACCGTGGAAATGGAGCGCATGAGGAAGGAAAACGCCGAACTACACCAGGCGAGTGGTGAAGCGCGCCAGGAGTCGCCTGTCGTCGAGGCCGCAAGTAGCAGCTCCACGCCAGATGAGCGGGTCTGGGATGAGCTTGAAGGCTCCATGGATGAGATGCGAGACAGGCACAGCAGCATCAGTCACCGCAACAGTCGCGTGCGGCGCCAACACGTGCAGCAGCGACAACTCCGGCGACGCAAGCAGCAGCGCCAACAATCCAAGCAGCAAGCGGCTTTGATAACGGTCAAAATCAAGGTGACAAACGCGCCCCCGCTTAACCCAAGTGACAAGTTCGTCACTGTTTCTGCATGGTTGTTTGGTGTGGAGGTGTTTTTCGATGCTGCTATGATTAATGACGATGCCACCCGCATCAATTTCGTAGTATCACTACTAAGGGGACCTACGCTGGAGTGGTGACGACGAACGTTGCAAGACGAAGGGACTCTGACAGGACTAGCACGTGCGGACGACGGGACTTCGACACCTGTCACGCAACGAGCAGCTTCAAATTTCGGGACGGCTACGATACGCACATGGAAGGAGTGGGACGCCGCCTTGCGAACCAGGCTCGAGCACATATCCACCTCGGACTCTGCTCGCATGAAGCTGCGTGCCTGGAAGCAGCTGACTTCGGTCCAAGACTACACCAGCACATTCTGCAACTTGGCGGACCAAGTGGACGACATGAGTGATGCGGAGTGGTTGGATCGCTACGTGGCGGGCCTGAAATACGAGATACAGTACGGAGTCCGATGCACGCGGCCACGCAGCTTTAACGACACCGTCCGAGAAGCCGAGTCAAGGGATGCATTGATGCAGGGGGCAATATCTAGATCCCGGGAGGGCCCTCGATTTCGCGGATCGACTCAGCAGCCGACGATCAACGGCGTGGATGCACCGAGCCATCGGGCTGTGCTTTGCGTGCAACCAGCTGGGCCACCTGAGAAAAGTGTTAGAGAATGAATGGTTGAATTGAAAGAGAAGTGAGTACAAGTACCTAAACCTAGAATTGTGTACCCCCTAAAGGCTAACCCACTGTAGCCTAAACAACTACAACATATATAATGTTTGACACACCCCCATAGGCGAAGTGGGGGAGAGCAAGGGGTCACAAGACCAGTCAAAGCAAAGCAAGGCAAAACAAGCTCAGGGTGAATCTCAAGGATACCACACAAATTCCGAGCACAAGCAAGTGGTCACAAGACCGGTTCACATGCAGTTTGATAATATAACAAGAGATACAGTAATCACAACCTAACAAGTGTAAGCATGCAGGTATATATATAGAGATCACAGTACAAGCAGAGTCAAGAAGTGAGCAAGTGAGGGAGAGTAGGCACAAGGCCTAGAACAGTACAGAAACGCTGATGGTCACAAGGCTGAAGCGCCTTGGTTAACACATCAGCAGTGTTGGCCCGAGTGGCCACGTAACGCAGACGAAGCTGACCACGCTGCAGCAGCTCTCGAGCAAGGAAGTACCGCAGAGCGATATGCTTCGTTCTGTGCTCCTCACACAAGGCAATGGTAGCCTTGTTGTCAACGTACAGCACTAGAGGAGAACTAGGCCGCTCTCCCAGGTCGGTCAGCAGGTAGGTGAGCCAGCGTAACTCCTGTGCAGCCATGGCTGTGGCGTAGATCTCAGCCTCACAACTGGAGCTGATAACAGAAGAAGAACGAGTAGAACGCCAAGAAACTGAACCAGAGCAAAGGCTGAAGGTGTAACCCTGTGACGACCGCTGAGTAGCCTGGTTGTCAGCCCAAGAAGCGTCTGAGTGCCCAGTGAGTACAAATCGGTCTCATCCTCCAAGCACTAGCCCCATACCCGCAGCAACTAAGGAAGGGTCAGTGACAACAGTAGCCAGGAGACGCGTGACAGTAGGACTGGTAGCGCGAAGGGAGTCAAACTCCGGGTCAGCAAGAGCAGGAAGAGAGGACGCAGGAGGAGACGGGAGAGGGACACGCTGGGGAGCAGTGGAAGGACGCAGAGTCATATAGTGTGTGCCGGGGACAGCAGGAGGACGCTCACGCGGAACACGGCTAGCAGTGCGAGCAGCACACACAGGTGACGCAGGACGAGATACAGGCGACACAGGACGAGACTCTGACTCACGACGCTCTGTAAGACCGCCTATCGGACCAGTGTAGGGAGAAGGACCAGGAAGGGGCGAGGCAAGCGGCAGCTGTGACTGCGACTGGACAGACGGAGGACACTCTAAGGAGGGAGGAGGACGACGAGGAGGAGGCTGACCAAGAACCTGCTGAAGGAGCGGAACGAAGTACGGCCGCGGCCGTGCAGTGTCTCCAAAGCCAGAAGAGACACCAGTGCCAGGGTCCACAGCACCAGCAGCAGCTCCAACGCCCGGGTCCTCAGCACCAGTAGTAGCTCCAACTCCAGGGTCAGTAGGACCAGCAGCAGCTCCAACGCCCGGGTCCGCAGCACCAGCTGCAGTCCCAACACCCAGGTCCTTAGCACCAGCAGAAGCTCCAACTCCAGGGTCAGCAGCACCAGCAG